ATATTTGACGCAGCAGATGTTTGACATATCGGATGTTAGCTTTGGACCCTAAAATTGGATAGGCCGCAGTTCTTCTGAATGTTACGTTACTTTTTTCTCTCGGACCAGTTAATTGCGAAATGCTGAAAAAATTGAGTAGTTTTTTTATTTACAAAATTATTGCAACTCATTTCGTAAAACTCTAACCTATCGCATACAAAAAAAACAAGTCAAGCCCAGTGCTTTTTGGCCTCTTTTTTTTAGTATATTTTTTATTTAGGGTTAAACCATAAGTGTTCTGCTCTTGAGTTTTTACCACGTCAACCTGGGTTTAGTGACTTGCCTATTTGACCATGCTTTGAACAATTTATGTGTACTATGAAAAAACTCGTTGCTTATTGAATAAACAAACTAATTGGTTTTAATTTTTTCGTATGACTGAATCTTTTTACTTAATGTCTGATTATGTCCAAATTTTTTTTTATAGTTTTTTGTTGCCCTATGCTATTAGCTTTCAATTAAGTGGCACTGGGAACATTCCAGTATTTTCCCTGTTATACGAGCCGAATGATTTTTTCTATGATGAAATCAGCATATGTAACATGGTTCAACCAATTTTCTACCCAGGCATAAAATTTTCTTTTTTGAATTCTGTGAACTTAACTGGCAATAAGACGGCAATCATAGCCAAAAAAACTTAGCTGCTCCAAAAATTTTCTTTTTTGATTCTGTGTGTAGAAAGTATTAATTTGAGTTATACAGTCGAAACTCGGCATGAAATTGAAAAACTAAATGCCTTCCGATCAAAATAAGCTGTTTTTTGATAGTAGCAAAGAAAGCGAAAATTACGCTAAAAACTACACCAGCAGTTTTATAGGGCTTTTTTCAGCAAAATTCGAAATGAAAATTTCACCTACACGTCTCACGCATATTCACAAGAACGACGTATACAAAACTAGAACACAAATGCTCGTATCAAGGCGCGACGCCTTGAATGTTTCGACTGCCCTTTTTTGTCTGGGAATCATTTATTCAAAAAGTTATGATTTAGAACTTTTTTTATGCAGATTGAACTACCGCTAAGGCTTTACTGGCCTAAAATGCATTGCGTTTTATTTTTCAAAAACCGGCCAAACTGCCAAATTTTAAGTCTTCTTGACTTTATCAAAACTAATCACAGGTGAAATATATTTTTTATTTGAACTCAAAATAACAAAATTTTTGAATCAAGTTTAAAAAATTGCCAAAAATGTCTAGTTGAGAAATCAAAGCTGTTCTAGAGAAAAAAAAGAACACCCCGAGCTCAAATATTCCGTCACTCTCTTTGTAAGTAGTCGGAACGATTCTGCAAAAGTTATAACAAATTTTGGATTATCATACTGCCTTTATTCATTTTTAAATAAATTTTTGTCCAAATTACAACTCCATATTTTGGGCGCAACATTCGATTTCGACTTTCGTAAGGAATGTAATGGAATTTTTGTGCTCTTGTGGTTTTTTTTTCAGACAAACTTCGACTTTTTAATTGGACTTTTTTGACGGAATTATTCTAAATCATTCAAAAATTCTTGTTGTCTTGAGCTTAAACTTGAAAAACTTTTTCACCTGTGATCATTTTCTTAAAGTTATTTGAGTTTAAAGATTGTCAATTTGGTACAATTAACGCGCGATATTTTTTGGGCTTTTAAAACGTAAGCAGAGTTTTAATCCGCCTTAGAAGTCGTTTCAAATTGTTTGAAGGAAGTTTAGTTGCCACATTTTTTTTACTAGGAGCAAAATTTTTCACTTTGTACTTTATATGGCGTGTGAGGGGATGATTTTCACAAAAAATTGCATATAAAAAATTTCTTTTGTTTTTTCTGTATTTAATTTTTTTTTTTAGTACTGCTCCATAGACCTTAAGAGGCAGTCGGAAAGTTGAGTGTTGCCCTGATACGAGCAGTTTTATTATTTCTTTGTCTGTTCCAAATTTTTAACTACTATTTATGAAAAGCTGCTTCAAAAAATGAGTGTTGTTCCGACTTTCGTAACGAAAGTAACGGAATATTTATTCCCGGGTGGGTTTTTTTCTTCAAACTGCCCATTTTTAGCTGCCCATTTTCGACGGAATTTTTAAAAATTAAGGAAAAGATTATTTTTCATAAAGTTATGGGGCTTATAAGATTGCCTTTTTGGCCGAGTTGGGACAATTAACGCAAGATATATTTCGCGCTACTTACGCGTAAGCTGAGATTTAATCCGCCTTAGAAGTCGTTTCAAATTGTTTGAAGGAAGTTTAGTTGCCACATTTTTTTTACTAGGAGCAAAATTTTTCACTTTGTACTTTATATGGCGTGTGAGGGGATGATTTTCACAAAAAATTGCATATAAAAAATTTCTTTTGTTTTTTCTGTATTTAATTTTTTTTTTTAGTACTGCTCCATAGACCTTAAGAGGCAGTCGGAAAGTTGAGTGTTGCCCTGATACGAGCAGTTTTATTATTTCTTTCTCTGTTCCAAATTTTTAACTACTATTTATGAAAAGCTGCTTCAAAAAATGAGTGTTGTTCCGACTTTCGTAACGAAAGTAACGGAATATTTATTCCCGGGTGGGTTTTTTTCTTCAAACTGCCCATTTTTAGCTGCCCATTTTCGACGGAATTTTTAAAAATTAAGGAAAAGATTATTTTTCATAAAGTTATGGGGCTTATAAGATTGCCTTTTTGGCCGAGTTGGGACAATTAACGGAAGATATATTTCGCGCTACTTACGCGTAAGCTGAGATTTAAGCCGTCTTGGAAGTCGTTCAGAATTGGTTGAAGGAAGCTCATTTGCCATAAATGACTGGTTACTGGGAGCCAAATTTTTCATTTTTTACTTTAAATGGCGTGTGGGGGGGGGGGGTGATTTTCTCAAAAAATTGCAAACTAAAAACTTTTATTTTTAGTTTATTACATTTCTTCTTTTCATGTTAATACTGCTCCATAGAGTTTAACAGAAATTCGAAACATTCAGAACTTCATACTGACATTTAAATCGGATTTTCACAAAACAATTGCAAAGTAAAAAACTTTAATTTTAATTTATTACATTTAATCTTTTCATTTTAATACTGCTCCATAGACCTTAACAAAAATTCGAAACATTCAGAACTTCGTAGTGACATTTAAATTGATTTTTTGTGTCAGTTCAGTAATTTTCCCTGTAATACGAGCGGAATGGATTTTTTCAATATACTTATACACAAATAAATTAGGTTTTAAAGAGACTTTTTGCACCTATTTACGCATTGTTTCGACCAATTAACGTGCAAACCTCTTCATCTGTAATTGTTCCCACTTTCGATACGAAAGTAACGGAATATTTGTGCTCGGGGTGGGTTTTTTTCTTCAGACAAATATCGACTTTTTAACTAGCCATTTTTGACGGAAATTTTGTATATCATTCGAAATTTTTCGTTGTCCTGAGCACCATTTTGAAAAGATATTTCACCTGTCTAAAGATTGCCACTTCGGCCAATTTGGGACGATTACGCGCGATATATTTCGCGGTATTAACGCGTAAGCGGAGAGTTGATTCGTTTTAAAAATCGTTCCAAATTGGTTGAAAGAAGCTTGTTTGCCATAATTGATTTGTTACAAGGAGCGGAATCTATCCTTTTGTACTTTATATGGCGTGTGGGGGGATGATTTTCATTTTAAAAAAATTCAAATTTTAGAAAAAAAAATTCATTTTGTTTTATTACATTTAACTTTTTAAAGTTATTACTGCTCCATAAACCCTAAAAGGCAGTCGGAACATTCAGGCTTCGCCCTGATACGAGCAGTCTTATTTTTATGTTAAAATTTTTTAAAGAAAAATTATCAATTCCAATTCTTTCTAAACCATGACAACTACAACTAAATTAACTTCAAGAAGCTTTCGAGATGTCATAATAAAAAACAATCACATATTTGACATGTCATTTTTATTAAACAATCAAATTATTCATACAGTTGCCCATACAAGTGCAGTCTTGTTGTTGTTAACATGCGCATCAATAATCATACTTGAAAAAAAATCGACCATACATTCAGGATACATAAAAGGCGCAATTTTCTTGCTTTATACGAGAAGATGAACAGAATTCTTTTTCACGTTTTGTTCGCTTCCAATACATTGAAAACACATGAAATTTGGAGACCGGCTAGATGAAATTATTTGAAGGAGCTAACCAGAGCAGATATTGAGATAACCTGTTTTGAGGCATAAAATATCAAGTAAATCATAAATAATTTAAGGTGTTCTTGCTCTGGAAACATCCTCAAATTAAGACAGAAATTGAATTTATGGTCTCAAGTTAGTTCTCTTTATGCTGCGGAAAAACGACATAGCAAAGCTTTTATGGTCGTAGTGGTACCAATACTTAAGGGTACTGCGCTCTTATATCAGAAAATTTGACTAAAATTAGAGAACACAACTTCTCATAAAGATCCTAAGCATAAACCGGCGATGTTAGTTTTCAAAAACTTTTGCTGAAACAGTTTTTTTGTTGGCTTATTTTGATCATCAGCGCAACATTGGATGTTAAAAATTAACTTTTTTTGACACCGGACCAGCAAATTTTTCAAATAATATTTGTGGTCTTTCCGCGGCATAAAGAGTGAGTGAAAATCATCAATTTTCCAAAGAACTTATTTGAGGACCTATTTGTTAAAAGAACCTATTTTAACAACATTCAAATTCCTTGAGTTGTTTTTGAGGATGTTTCCAGAGGAAGAAAACTATAATTATGACTTACTGGCTATTGTACGCCTCAATACAATTTATAAATCAATTTTTAACTAAGTATCATCTATATTAAGAAAGTTTGATGAATATTGCTTTCAATTAAATTTGTGCAAACCTGAAATAAATTTTGACCAAACATAGAATAGATCTAATATTTAGTTTTTCAAAGGATAAAATTTTCTAGGTATTTCACATCGCCTAGAAATAATGTGTGAAGGAATAAATTTTTTGTTATTTTTTTCTAGATTATCTTATGATATCATTCCATGTTTTCGTCAGCTAGGGCGTAGAGTAAGTCATAAAGTCATCTGTACTTGGAGTGGAAATGTGTCTTCTGTTTGTAAGTTTTGACGTCATCGTCTCTGTCTTTAAGCCACTGTCTCGCAATATCCAGCCCCTCTACGGTCGGTTTACCCAGGAGAGACGACATCCTGTTCAGGTACTCACTTTGGAACTCAATCTTTTCTATACAATCAGCATCCGGTGCATTTGAACATGTCGGGTCAGAAATCTAACTTGATCCTATTTTTGAACTTTTCAAATGGAAATTTTTTTGCTTTTCACATGGAAAAATTACAAATGCAAGAAATTGAAAAAAAAATACCTGAAACGTAAAAGTTACAACAATTTTCCAATTTTCTGCTCTTTGAATTCAAAAATCTTTCGTAAACCTAAGTTTTTTTAAGTAGTCTTGACAGTTTTGTCTCATTGTTTCTAAAGTATTTGGAAAAAAATATATCTAAAAATTAAATTGCAAATTTAGATTGAAGCCGATTCTCTTTTTTTTCTAGATTTTTAATTTAGCTACACAAATTACTAGAAATTGAGCTGCGTTGTGTTTTTTTGTCAATTGGGAGGTCTATATGGATCTTTGGTCCAAATTAAGCTAAATGATTTTGGGTTCAAAAATAAAAACTGTCCAGGTTGATGTCTCTTAAAAGTCATATTAAGAACATATGCAAAGTCATATGCTCATCATTTTCCAAAAAACTGATCAAAACCACTCACACTGAACTAAGATTTTGCTTAAAATTATCTTTAAAAAACGTTCAAACCGCTCAAATCTTGCTTGAAATTGGGTCGAAAACCTTGACTCGGGCTGAGCCGATGACTTGCGTGGTAAGTTCACCTAGGATGCTGTTGTGTGTTGACCTGGCCTGTTCTTCTCGCTCCGTATCTTCCACCATCTCAGCCAAAGGAGGCAGTTGCACGTCACCTTCAAGTACTCATTATCAGGAAACTCTCAAGTTTTTAAAAAAACACAAATTCATATAACTTATGCTAAATACAGCTTATGACTATTAAAAAAGGTGCACAAAAACTTTCAAGACGGCTTGTAACAGGACAAAGCACTAACTGTTCAAATTGTTTTCTATGTTTAAATTCGATAAACTTTATGGTTGCAAAATTTTTTAGCTGAAAATTTTGATAACGATTTTTGGTCCAAAAAACTAAAACTAGTTCCAGAAAAGTCGAATGAAAAATTGAACTATATATGTATCCCACCCAGACATCCAATTCATTCACTTATTATCGTTTAGCTTATTTTTTGGATCAATTATTGTGCATTGATTAAAATTGAATTATTTTCTGATTTGGATAAGTTTGCAATATATCCAGCTCGATAAAAGAAAAACTGGAAAATTTGCCCGCATAAATTATCTTAAATTAGTCAAATTGTCATTTTTCATGAATTGAAAATTTTTGTATATTTGTGCCGAAATCTTCAGTTTCTTTCTCCTTTTTTGTGAAATCGATAAGTTACAAAAAATAAACTAGCCTCTGCAGAAAATAAACAACCCCTAGCATGAAAATTTTGTGAATTTTTTTTTCGAAAATTGGCTCAATAACTGAACTTCTTTTTGAAAACTAACTTCATTCGATGATTTTAAATGAAATTAAGTTTTTTTTTGAAACTCATTATGTAATTTGCAGCACTCAGCTATGAAATTGGCTTCTTTCCTAAACCCCCCCCCCCCCCCACCCAGCTAACACGAGCATCAATTTTATTTTCTAACAAGTGGTCTTACAAGTTTGATTAAGAAGACCAAAGATGTTTGTCATGGCCTATTTAGTCAACTTTCATGACACTTGGACAACGTGAACAGTAATTTTAAGGATAAAAACTTGCAGGTAGGGAAAAACAAAAATAGTCATGTAATTTGTTTGCAGCGTAGAATAAGTCGAGATTCGCAGATTTCCGTTCCACTAAAAGACCTGAAGTACACATTACTCAAAAAAAGGCAATTGCAAATTTCCCATAAAAAAATTATGTGTACCTAAATTGTTTAGCAAAATACTGCGCTCAATTACAAATTTATTTTCTGCCAAAAAATGTTTGATTTTTTTTCCAGAAAAATCACGATTCGACTGAGCTTTTTTGGACTAAAAAATCAGTTTATCTTTTTTAAGAAACCACAAGTTTACCAATAGGTCTTAAGATTATATTACATAAAAAATCATCCACCATTTTCAAAATGCTTCAGTTGGATAATTTGACACAAAGGCAAAACTTCGCTTCGCAAACACTAGCGAGAACACAAGGAATCAGTTTTATAAAGTGCAATAAAAATAAGAAAAGGTAGATCTCAGCCTCGAATTAGTGAAAACTCGGCTACGTCTCGGATCTGATATGCGACCTACTCCTGCTACCTAGAAAATATGAGTACCACGCACTAACCACTCAGCCACAAACGCTTAGTTAAGCACAATCACTAGTCGCAAAAAAGGCAAGGAACAGATGCTATGAAGTTTCCAATGCTACAATGAAATTTCCAAATAAGTGAACACTCTAAAAGAAATTTTTTATTTGCGAGATAGGTTGCAAAAAACACAAGGTTCGTACTAATATACTACGCTGACCACTAGAGTAAAATTGCTTGTATCATAACTAAATACCGATATAAAAAACTTCACTCAAAGCACATTTATACGCAAAACTACAAAATCTTGAAATTTGATTTTTTTGCTGGAAAGCTCAAACATTTATAGATCTGGCAAAGAGCTCACCATCCAGTTTGCAAATCTGAATGAACAAAACTTAAAAACCTGTTAATGCCAACTTTATGTTTTTAAATGGGTTTGGAAAAATGGCACGCTTGCTAATAAGTCGGTGGTTGCAATGGCTAGAAAGAGGTTGTGTATATGTATATATAACTCGCAAATGTCAATATTTATTGCTTTGTCGTTTCAAGTTTGTCTTACCTCTTATGATTTGTGCGCAGAAGTGGCCTTGTAACCAGAAGAGAGGGAAAGTATATGCCAAATTCTGGACGCCAATATACATGACTCTGGGGTTAGTAGGCAACACCACCTGTCTGTAGAGCGGCATGTCCTTCTTGGCAGAAATACTAATGCGGATGCTCTTCTCCATATAAGGAAACTCGTACAGATAGCCAGTGCAGTAAATGATGACGTCATAGTCGCAGCTGGATCCGTCTCGGAAACTGAACAAATTGTCATTTACACTTAGTGTATTTAGGTATTTGCGGTTATAACGCCAAAATGATGAAAATTAAAACCAAGTTTTTATTTTAAACTTGGATTGATATTAGTAAAAAATGCAGCGCAAACATTTTAAGCATTTGCTCGATTGAAAAAGTGCAAGAAAAAGTGAATTATATGGCATTTGTATTTGTATAAAAAGCATTTGTATTCAAATTGGTGAAAAATTTGGGGAAAAACAATAAAAAAGATTGTGTCCATTTAAATAAAAACGACCCCCTGCCGACCCAAAGGGTCCCCCCTTTGAACTATTTTCAGATATCCAATTTTGGCTGACTGACCCTAAAATTTTTCTAAAGGCGCCTTTGGCGCCAATATACACTTATTTTAAGGGGCGAGCGCGCGCCAAAAAACCCAATTTTTGGTTAAAATTTTCCAAAAAGTGCCAAAAAAACGCCTTTTTTGCCTGTTTTTTTTCACAATTTTGGCCAAAACTGACTTTTTAGTGCTTTGGTAGAGCTCAGAAAACCAATATGGTCGACCTAAAAAAAAAAAGGTCGACAAAATTTTGAACTTTTTTTGAAAAAACCGCCCCCCTCGAGAAAACCCTAGATCCGCCCCTGATTTCAATGATTATTTCATTAATAGGATCTGTATGACTAGCATTCTGCTATATGGTAATTGTATGGCTATCATTAATCGATAAAATTTTAACCTTTGAAAATCTTTCTTTATTTCATTTCTTATGTTATTTGTATTTATTTAGGTTCATCCCTGGTCGAGGAAAAAATTCGCAAGAATCAAAATGCAAAAATTTCAAGCTTCACATAGCATTGAATTTAACTAACGAAAATCAAGATTTCCAAGAAAGCGGGTTTTCGATGAAAAGCGAGAGCGCGAGAGCTTAAAAAAATCTAGCAGATCTAGGGAAGAAACTTATCGCTGATATTTCCTTGCGAGTAAAATATGCCTACGGTAACAGTGCCATCGCTAACAGTAAGCCATATCTAACAATATATGCCAAACCTTTGTTATTAAAAAAAATTCCATAACTATCAGTTTCATAGCTAAAAGTGAGCCCCAAATGATGAAAATTGCCATACCTAAGCAAAAAATATATGCCATAGCTAACAGTGCGCCAAACCTTATGAAATATGCCATACCTAACTGTGGAACCCCGAATTTGAGTGAGCAACGGCTTCTCGTCAACATTTGGGGGGAACTTGAGGTTCATTGGGCAAGTCCTGTAGCTTATAGTCACTCGGGCGGCGCCCGCACGTATAGACTGCATAGCTAGATCTTCGGCCGAAAACGAAGAACCCACAATCAACAGACGCTTTCCTAAAAAAGGAAATTTATCTGAACAAAAAGTCAATTAGGAGTTTTTCATTAGAAAGTTCAGGTATCGCGACAACAACAAAAGACAACTCGTGAAATTTGAAAATAATTTATAAGTTAGGAATTTCGGTTTAAAAACCGGCTCAAGATTTCGTATAAAGTCCTACCCTATGTTGGCAAGCTCTCAACACGTTGGCGCGACTACGGCGGTGAGTATATTGCGAGTTGTCTTTTAATTCGAGTTATCTTTTATTGCTAATTGTCTTTTGCCGCGACTTGTCGTATTACGGAAACTTTAAAAGCATGCAGCCGCTTTTTAGGGTTGTTTTTTTTTCTAATGTTTTATATATTGCAAAAATCTGAGATAATTAAAGCTGATTTAAACAGGTCGTTTCTCTCAAGCGATAAACTGCTGATGCCAAAAACAATCAGCAGTTTGTTGGTTACTTTGGTTACAGTAAGAAAAACAGTAGGTATCTGTTACAATAAAAAAACTATTTTGAGCACCTTTGTAACGATCAGCGTCCATGAAAAACTTGGCGTGAATCACAGTTCCCGGGAAAGTTTCTTCTCCTGGATACGAAACATAGTTCGGCTGAGTGTAGTGACCACTTGCAATTATGACGTAATCGAATTGTTCTAGAAACTTCCGCTTGTTGTCGTCATTGAGATCACGCACGGTCACCTGGAATTTCTCGGCTTGCTCGTCGTATGCGACCCAGTCGACCCAAGATTTGAATCTGATACAGTCTTTAAGACTGAAATGATTTGTTATGTCATTTAGATATTTCAAAACGAAATTTGAAGAAGGGAAACAATCGAAACCACAACTTTGGTCAAGTTGCTCCGTCTGCAGGCCACGTGATTTCTGACCATCAAGGTCACCCGATTGCGTATAGTCACGTGGTGCTGACTGATTCAAATGATCATAGAGTGTTTTTTCAATGTCGAACAGGAAGTCGGGACACTCCAGGAAAAACTTGGGATTGTTTGTGACAAGGTTTCTGTACATGGAGGAGTGAACAAGCATGCCGTCTTCGTCAATGCCCTCCACGTCCCTGGAAAAAAGACAAAACATGTGTTTTTTTGAGTTGAGACCCCTAACTTCGAGAGTTTACAATAAATATTGGTTTATACTCATTTGATGTTTAATTGAAATTGCCAAAAAAAATTGCAGCTCCCACTTTCCAGACCTTTTCAGAAGCATTTCATAGCTAAGCCGAAGTGTGGCTCTCAAAAATTGTCAGAAAAGCCAGACAAAATTCTAGCATTCAACCCTCAGAAACTTTAAGGTTCGTTGAGATTTTAAGAATGGAGTACGCAGCGAGATTCTCAATGCAATGGCAAGCGGTTCTTGGAGTGCCGTCTCAAAATTACTTGTTGTTCCGGCTTTCGAAGAAAGTGACAAAATATTTCAACTCGGGTGGTTTTATCAAATTTAGAATTCTTAATTAGCCATGTTTGGACAAAACTTTTACCATCTGAAAGGTATTGACACCCTGATCTCAAATTTTTTAAAATATATATATTTTATTTGTGATCATTTTTCAAATTACCAGCCATAAAGTTTTACCAACTCATTGTTACGACTTCGAAATAAGAGCGGGTTATTTATGCTTTCGTGGTTTTTTTCATTCATTTTTTGCAATTAAAATTTTCTGGCAAAAAAAAATTTTTTGAGCCCAAATTAAAATATATTAGCATCTTTAGCATTTATATATTCACCTAAGATCCTTTTTGTTAAATTATGGGGGTTTAAAAATTGCTAGTTTAGCCAATTTCAGATAATTAACGCGCGATCTATTTGTGCTATAAGCGCGTGAGCGGAGATTGATTCTCGCTTGGGAATCTTTCCAAGTTGATTTGATGCATGCTAAATATGCCAACTCAAACTTTACTATGATTATATCACTTTGTATTTTTCATAGCGTGCGCGGGATGACTTTTTAAAAATTGGAACTAAATTTTAAAACTCTTTTTTCAAAAAATTTCATTCTTCTTTTGAAAAGCAAACACTACTCCAACGACAATAAAAGGCAGTCAAAGCAATTGCAGCTTCGCCCTGACACAAATAGTCTTGGTCTTTCGATTTTCGTTTTTGTTATATATATATATATATTTACATATTTACATAAATACATTATATATATATATATATATATACATACATAAATAAATACATAAATACTTATATTCATATATACATATATACATATATACATTTATACATTTATACATATTTACATATATACATATATACGTTATATGGATTTTGATTGTTTTATTAAGTGTCTACTCTATGACCTGTCAATTTCGTACTACGTAACCAGCTTGAAAGTTCAGTAATTTACTTTAAGTATTGTAAAGCAATGGAAAGAGGAAAAAAGGGTCGACGTCAGATTTCGAATCCCTTCTTAACTTTTTGTACATATTTACACCAAAACGAAAATCGAAACACCAGGACTACTCCTGTCAGGGCGGAGCTCCAAATGTTTTGACTGCCTTTTGAGGTTCTTGGAGTAGTGTTTGCTTTACAAAAAAAGAACGAATTTTTCTGAAAAAGAACAATTTAAAATTAAGTTCCGATCCTAATTTAAAATCATATTGCACAAGTTATGCAAAATACAAAGTGATATATTCATTGCAACGTTTTAATTAGCTTGTTTAGTGTACATCAATTCAACTTGGAAAAATTCTTAAGCTGGAATCAATTTCCGCTTACGCGCTTATAGCACAGAATATACCGCGCGTTAACTGTCTGAAATGTATGCCTGGCGTGATTTTTTGAAACTCAGACAAGTTTTACAAAAGCTGACAGCGTATGGATATCGATCCAGAAATCTTTAATTTGCCGAGCGTGTATGATTGCACTAGGTTTACGTTGACGGCATTACTGCTCAAAAATACTTTGATAGTTTCAAAACGCGAATTACTTATGCGTAGCAAATTATGCGCAATCATACCATTCCCAAATTGAATTAGGGCCAATTTTAAAGGAAAACGTTATTTTTATTCAAATGCTAGCACATGCAATTGATATTGGCAGTACTTAGTTTATGGTTTATCAACATTTTTTGGAGTTAAAACTATTCGTCAGGGCTGTGCATTGATATACAATTGGCTTTTGGATTTTTATTTAGTTTAAAACAAAAACTGGTTAAGCTTCCAAGTAGTGAGATTATAAAAAACAAACAGGTTTGACAATTCGCTGAGTCAATAAAAAATCAGAAAAATTCATGACGCCGCGCTGTGGAATGTTTGTCTGTTAAACAACCGGCATCAATTAAATTGACCATTTTTGAATTTTCAACTTTCGCTGATTTGTACTAATTTATTTGAACTAATTTAATTGAATTAATTTACTTGATTTAATTTAATTTCGAATTTTTAACTAGCTTTTTTTGACAGATTTTTAAAATCTCATTCAAAAACTACTGTTGACTTGAGCTTAAATTTGAAAAGCTATTTAACTTGTGATTCTTTTTCGTAAACTTATGGGTGTTTATAGATTGCCATTTTGGTCAGCTAGGGATAATTAAAGCGCAATAAGCGGAGATCCAATCTCTCAGAAATCGTTCCAAATTGGTTGAAGGAAGCTTATTTGCCCTAATTGATTTGTAATGGAGCGAAATCAAACAAGACTACTCGTATCAGGGCGAAGCCATGAATGTTCTGACCGCCTTTTAATGTTTATGGAGCAGTAATAACATTTAAGAAATTAAATGAAATTAAACGAAATGAAAATTTTTATTTCTAAAATTTGAATTTTTTTAATGAAACTCATCCCCCCACATGCCATATTAAGTAAAAAGGATAGATTTCGCTCCTTGTAACAAATCAATTATGGCAAATAAGCTTCTTTCAACCAATTTGGAACGATTTCTAAGACGGATTAACTCTCCGCTTACGCGTTAATAGCGCGAAATATATCGCGCGTTAATTGTCCCAAATTGGCCAAAATGGCAATCTTTAAACCCCCGTAACTTTACGAAAAATGATCACAGGTGAAATATCTTTTCAAATTTAAGCTCAGGACAACAATATCTTTCGAATGATATAAGAAAATTCAGTCAAAAATGGCTAGTTAAAAAGTCAAAATTTGTCTGAAGAAAAAAAAAACCCACCCCGAGCACAAATATTCCGTTACTTTCGTATCGAAAGTCGGAACAATAAATTAAATCATTCCATCACTTGTACTTTATATGGCGTGTGGGGGGATGATTTGCACAAAAAAAATCTTGAATTTCAGTTGTTTTTTTCTACATTTAATTTTTTCATGTTATTAGTGCTCCATAGACGTTAAAAGGCAGCGCATTCTTTTCAGTGATTTGGGATCAATAAAAATAGCATTCAACATACTTTTGACTCAGTCGAACAACTTTTTTTGGAACTGTTGTACTTCGGCACCGTTGTACTCCCATAGTGTGGCTAATTTGGAAGAATTAGTAACGCGCGCTATGTTTTGATCATTAATGCGTACGCGGCTGTTTAATACAGCCTAGAAGTCTTTGCAATTAGATTTGAGTCAAGCTTCTAGGAACTATTCATAGGTCGGTAGACGCCAAAAAAACGAGCTGGTTTGGGCGAATTCTCGAATATTCTGACTGCAGTTAAAATTCCAACTAATATCAGGCTAGTTTAAAGTTTTTGGCTGCAAAGTTATCAAAAAAACCCTCCCACGCTTTTTTATCCCTCCCACGTTTTTTAAAGACCAAAGGTGCGTATTTACTATCTTGTGTTTTAACAATAAGACCAAATTATTTGCCCAACTTTAATTCGGGGTGATTTTTTCTGCTACAAAAAAGTCAATCTGAAAAAAGTCTTTTTCTCATATATTTTATTGAAAGCTTAGTTTTCAAAATTCTTGAAAGATTCTATTTTTTCTTAGATCTGATACGGGCTTGCTAGTTGAATTTGTGATTTCATTAACTTTTTTAACTGATTGCAAAATACGGGGGTCAAGTTTGAATTTCACGTGGGTTTTTGACTTACAAAATGATTAAAGCTTAACGTAACAAGCTTTACACTCTAAATTTTGAGTTGAAAGGACACCCTTAGTTTTTACTGCCATTAAAATTTAGTGATCAACTATTTGATTGCAGATTTCCATAAAAACCACACTTTGACCTTGTAATTTCGGAACGGAAAAACAACGTCTCTGTATCTGCAGATTTAACAGAAAAACAAATTATCAGTTGCAAAAACGGTAACTTCAAACAAACAATTTTTGAGCCACAAAATATAGCGTTTCTTGTGTTCTAATGATAAGACCAAATTACTTTTTTTTTCATATGATTTTGCCAGAACAAGAAAAATTAGAAAACTTTTCTACCTGAAGTTCCACATGCCTCCCACTTATTCATGTCTTTCGTAGCAAACTACTTGGAACTTCCCGCCCCTTTCCATTTCCCCTTCAATCTGTGAATCCCCGCCTGCTCCGCCTCTTCCCTCTCCCTTGGCCCCTGGATGCGACAAACTCTGAAGAGCCCTCAACGTCATCAACCCAGAAGGTCCCGCTCCAATCACACATATGCGCGTCAGGTTTGACTCGCTGTCGTGCAATTTTGACTGACGATTCATGATTTCAGGCTCAATTTTCATAATCAAAGAAAGTGTGAAGGAAACTCTTAAACGTTTTCCTTAATTTTCAATAATCTAATAACTAAATGATCAAATGCAGTCAATTTTTAATAAAATGCAGATTCCAGATTATAATTATCATAAAAATGAACATTGATTTCAAATAAACTCGCTTGACCTTAACCACAAAAATTTGAACGCGAAACAAAATAACAAACTTAATTGTGCTTTCAATCTGCAATAACAAAAAGTTAATTCGACAATATCTGTCAAAGACCGCCGTTCTCAATTTGATCTGATATAGTAGCGAAAAATTAAAACTGACAGAAATAATTGAGCAATCAGTTAAGTTTGAACAATTTTTGCATGCAAATTTGAAATTTAGGTGACATTGAGTCATAATTTCTGTCTGAAAAGTTAGCTTTTGCATGCAAAATTTTTCTGAAATAAGTAATTTGCTCTTTTCAATTAAGTTTGCCTGTTCCATTCTTTTACACCTCTCTATAGAGAGTTACAAAAAGCTGGAACAGACAGAATAATTAAAAAGCGAGAATGACATATAGCTTTTAACAAACTTATCGGAGGTCTTAAGTTTTTGAAATAGTTCTGACCTTCAAATTTAAAATAAATTGGAATACTTCTTTCATGTTTTGCGTTTGCTTTTTTGTCGGCGTTTTATGTGTTTTTTTTTGCTCCGAAAAATTACTTGGCAAATCGCTGTTCAATGAAAAATTATTCTTAGTTGTGCTTTTGAAAATAGGCAAAAAAATCTCTGAAAACGTGCAAACAGTTTGCATTGCTCTTTTGACAGTTCAAATACAGTTTTAAATTCGATTTTAGTTTTAAATGTCCAACCCCCCCCCCCCCAACGCCCAACCCCCCCCCCCCCCAAACTGTGGGGGGGGGGGTAAGTTGGGAGGGGAGGGATGTAAAGTCTACGAATAAATAATACCCCATAAGGGGGGGGGTGAATGGCGGTTGTGGTGAACTGGCTGGCAGGGAGGAGTGGGGGGTACAAACGAGGAGGAAAACGGGGGGTGGGTAAACAGGGGTGTAAACAGGGAGGAAAACAGGGGGGGGGGGGGGGGGGGGGTTGGTAAACGGGGTAAATAAGACAAAAAGTATAAAAGTTGAAAAGTGAAATGTAAAATTTTATGAAACCTAATACGTATCAACTACACTAAACAAGAAATGCGATAACTTTGAAAAAAATATATATAAAATTTCATGAATAACCTCTCGAAAAAATCCATTAAACTGATTTTAACCAATTAAAAGGGATATTTAAGAAAATAAGAAATTTAATCAATTTTTAATGGATTATATTGATATCAAAAGCACTGGCATTATAGTCCATTTTTGATGAATTATAATCGATTATTCTCGTAATTTTATAGATACTGACTATAAAAGGACAATATAATCGATTATCATCCATGAAAGTCTAGTGCGGGTACTTTTGAAAATAGGCAAAAAGATTCCCCAAAAACTGCTCAAAACTGGCAGATACCTCTTTTTGTTCCGACTTTCGAAGAAAACGGAATATTAATGCTCGATGTGGTTTTTTTTTCAGTCAATTTTCGCCGATCGAAATAATAGTTTTCGGCAAGAAATTTTTATACCCCATTGAAGATATCGACTTCTTGAGTTCAACTCTGAAAAGATATTTAACCTCCGATGAATTTTTGTAAAGTTCTGGGGGTTTGAAATTTGCCAAACTGACCATGTTCTGCTTCAAATTATGCGCGCTTTGAACAATTTATGAATTTATTCATATTGCTGAGAGTAACGCGAATTATTTATGCGTGGCGAATTGTCCGGCAGAACAAAATCTTTCCAAATTGAATTGAGGCTAGCGGTGGCGTCCCTTATGCTTGAAGGACCGAATGCTTGAAGTTTAGTATAGCTTACTTTCAGCCAATCAGAACTGAGTATTCAAAATCTCCAAGTAAATCGTAAAAATCTTGAAGCAAGAAAATAAACCAGGCCAATAGTGATAATAATGACCGATTAGATAATAAGCAGATAAGTTTTCAAGAATGAAAAGTTCTTATGAACTTGAACTCATAAATATTGATGTTTATCTGAATAGTTTTGCGGTTGTAACCCGCAATTTGTAATTTTTTCGATTGTGATTGGCTGAAATATTTCAAGCAATCGATCCTTCAAGCATGAGAACCATCCCCGAGGCTAGCTAATCAGATCGGTCTTATTATTTCGTACGACTAAACATTTCACACTTTGATGTTGTTCAAACTTTGCAGGTTTTCAATATTTTCTTTTCCCAAAAACTATTCGGTATGAATTAAGGGACAGTCGAAAGATTTAGGGAGTTTCCCTGATATACAAGCAGTCTTGTTAATTGCGACTGTCTGTTCCAATTTTCTACAACTACTTATGAAAAGCTGCTGCAAAAACTGATTGTTGTACTTTGTTTTAACAAAGTGAATATACAGATCAGTTTTATCTTATTTATGAAAAAGTAGTACCTTAAGAATGGTAACGTGCGTTTGAGCTGAACAGTTAAGTTAAACTTTTTTTGCAAAAAGTTAGCTCAGAGCTTTTCAGAAGTTGAATCTACAATTTAATGTACAAACATGCAAGCTAATCAACTCTATGCGGAGAAAAGCTGTAGTGCCACTGTTTCAATACTTACATGCAAAATTTTGGTTTCTTTTCTGGGCTGGATACTGTTACCGCAAGTAACAAGCCCAGATCATAATGAGCCTCGACAATCCAGCCTTCCGATAGGGAGCCAGTCACGAAACTTTTTCACCACCTCTTCTCTGAGCTTCAAATTGAACAAAAACTTCAAGCCAATTTTCAACCGAAATGATAAGACTGATAATACTTTCGTGAGAAAAACAAAAGCTCGATCATATAGCTTGTCTTGTCATCTTTAGCAAGTTAAGCAGGAGCATTAAGTCTCGCCTTAGATCATTGATCTGTTTGATCCTCTTTATGTATAAAATGATGATTAAAAAAAAGATTACTCGTAGAGATAATTTAAAACTAAATGAAAACTAATTGAGTAACAAAATCTAGCAAAGGCTGAATTTAAGCTGCCTACTTGGTTGAGGGAAAAGTTAGTTTGTGCAAAATTAATTTTAATAAATATATGAAATGTTACTTCTCGCAGATCTGGAAATGTTTCATTTTACAACAAAAGGTTATTGAAAAAAAAAGAAAATGTATTTTTTTTCAAACTCGTTATTGACTTGAATGAGCGATTGCGGATAAAATTATGAACATTAAGAAGAGTCTTCACTTGACGCAAGGATGTTGCGGATTCCTCGTGTATAATCATTAAGGTTTCTTTTCTTCGAATAAAACTTTTTGTTAGGACTTTCGATACGAAAGAAACGGAATATGTGCTTGTTGTGATTCAGTATTTTTAGTATGTTATAACCTTGACCTCTATCATCTAATTACGTACCAGTCAATGTAAACTCTACGAAGTCCAGTGGACTTCGGATCACTAGTTGCTCTTTTTAGACTACAGTCAGTTTTAACTCAACCAATACTTTTATTCTCTTTTAACCTTAGTTAGATACAATAGTTACCAGTGGTACATCTCAATTCTTTATTATGGCGCAGTCAACAACTGATTCAAATCTGCGGGGAATACCCGCCTTTTGGCCGAACCACACGGTAGAACCTCCCACCCAATGGAACAACTGGATAGACCAATTCCATTTGGCTATTATCGCGAAGGAAAATTTAGACATAGGAGTCAGAAACTGACCAACAGAGGAAAGCCAGGGAGGCCAGGAACAAAGAAACAATGCGAGTCTACGAACACGCTGAAGAGAAAAGACTAGGAGAAGAAAAACGGAAATTCGGAGGAATGAGGAGATATGAGGCCGATAAAAAAGTAAGGTCAATCCTATACTTGGCCTTAGGAGCGGAAGGCAAAAGAGTTTTCGCCCAGAAACATCCAAGGGTAAAAGTCCTAGGAATCTCATTCAATGAATTTTATGAACTGCTAGAGTTGGCTTTTATCAAACCAACCAACATAACATTTGAACGATATAAATTATTGAGCAGGAAACAAAAAAATAGAGAATCCTATCAACATTTTTGGGGCGCGTTATCAGATTTAGCAAGATCATATGAAATTGGAATTAATGCAGAACAGGAGTTGATCAGAGACGTATTTATTTTTAACATGAAAAACTGCGACTTAAAATGTAGGCTACTTTCGGAAACTCTCAATCCATTGGATGCACTAAACCAAGCAATCATTGACGAAAAAGGCTACTATAACCACCTCAAATTAACCAATATGACTAGATCTTTCAACACGACAGGAAATAGTGGGAGAGTGTATAAAAACTTCAACAACGTAAAAAAGGAACCAAGCTTGAACAAAGAAAGATCAAATACTTGTATGAAATGCGGGAATGCGTTCACCAAGTATCATCTGAATGTGTGTCCGGCGAAAGAAATTGTGTGTAATATTTGTAAATATCAAGGACATTTCGGAAGACTTTGTAAATCGAAAGGAAGAAAACCTGCTGTAAATTTTGTAGATGAAGCTGTAAATAGTCAGAAATGTTCATATTCCCCAGAAGACCTTCAGGTAAGAAGCGAAGAAAATTTTTGCGCAGTGATTAACAATTGGACCGAAGAGGGGATAAGCGATAACGATGACTATTCAGTTCTCAACATTAGAACAATCTACGATACCAATGGTTTGGAAACCAAGAAACTTGTCAATATCGGTTTGGGAGACGATGCAATAGTCAACTTTAACATTCCAGTGGATTCATCAAGCCCAGTGAGCTTCCTGAAACAAAATGTACTTCACGAATTGAAGTTGAGAAACCCACAGTTGAAGATACAGCCAGTTGAGAAGAAAACGAGGGAACTATATTGCGGATTCACCAACTACACAATCAACATCATCCGGAAAGTGGTAGTGAGATTACAATCCAATGGATGGATCGCGGACGAAACCCCATTTTTTATCACTTCTGGACATGAGAGGAACATCCTGGGAAACGACAATCTCCCGAGAATTGGAATAGAGATAGCCCAACGACAGCCTCTACTACCCGTCAACAACATATCACGCCCAGAATTGTGTAAGTTAAATAACTATTCAGACACGACCTTAATCTGTATCATAAGTATAAAGGGTTATTTAACAGAGTGGGAAAAACACCGTTGGACAGAAAAGTTACT